TGAACTACGTTCGACTTGAATTCTCAAGAATGAGATACGTAGGCGGCCTATGTCGGCCTCGGTCGATTTCTTTGTAAATCTTCTATTTTTGTTAATCCTTGAGGGGGAACTACGTTCGACTTGATTCCTGCCTCAACGGGATACGTAGGCGCCACAAGGGCTCGGTCATATCTCCTGTGAGATTTTTATTTTTTCTTTACAATAGAAACTGGGACAAAATTTTTGAGAGGGACTCAAAATTCTTCAAGAAAAAGATCTCTCCAACAAATCCGAGACTGAAGTTACTTTTAAATTTGCAACTGGGACAGAATTTTTGAGAGGATCTCAAAAAATTCTGTGATTTGCTCACCAACGGTCAAAAATAATCCAAGATAGTTAACTGTAACAGAAATTTTGAGGATGGCCTCAAAATTTCCACAGGGTTTATCGGCGGTTTAGAACAACTTTGAATACTTCCCAACAAGTAATCAGATAGATCTCGAGACATCAACTCTAAATGGCGTTCATTAAGTTTGACGTGACATGACACTTGGCAGTGACCTTTTTCAAATATTATTTTCTTGAAAATCTATTTTTCTTAAAACTTTTCTTTCATGTTTCAATTACTTTGCATAAAAATATTTTGTCTTATCTATCAAGAGACGGGAGATCGGAGAAATTAATCGGAGATAGCAAGACAAGGAGCAGACAACCGAAGAGATCGACACAGATTAGTTCATTTTAAACTAACAATTTTTCTGTGAATGCAGGTTTATAAGCTCGCCTAAAGATCAACATATTCTTCCATTCAATGAATATGGAGAGGTCAAAAGGGCCAGAGCTCCCCAAATTGACAATTTTTCTGTGGATACAGGAAATATTTTATGCTTCTGATGCCAAGAATTAGGAATATGAGTAGCATTACTTTATTCAAATTATCAGCAAGGCAAAGTTCATAACGAACATGCAATTATGTTCGGAGATGGGACAAATGAAAACCTTGAAGGGAGAAATATTATTATTTTACAGCAACTAAAGACACCTGAAAGATATTTATCTGCATTATATTATCAGATATGATAATATTCTTACCCTGAAAGTTATTTATATTGTATTGTCGAATGAGACGATACCACTACGCAGAAAAAGTCATGCATCGCGAAGAAAATTCATGCATAGCAAGAGGAAGGATCATGCATTGCGAGAAAAAGAGGTCATGCATAGGAAGAGAAAGATTCATGCATCGCGGAGAAAAATTTATGCATCGCGGGAAAGAAAGTCATGCATCGCGGAGGAAAAATTCATGCATTGCGAGAAAAGGAGAAAGTCATGCATTGCAAGAAAAGATTCATGCATAGCAAGAGAAAGTTCATGCATAGCAGGAGAACGATTCATGCATAGCGAAAAGAAGTCATGCATTGCGGGAAAAAGATTCATGCATAGCAAAAGAAAAGGTCATGTATCGCGGGAAAAAGATTCATGCATAGCAGGAGAACGATTCATGCATCGCGAAAAAGAAGTCATGCATCGTGGGAAAGAGACTCATGCATTGCGGGAAGATATTCATGCATCGCGGGAAGATATTCATGCATCGCGGGAAAAAAAAGTCATGCATTGCAAGAGAGAAGAGTTATGCATCGAGAGAGAAAAGATATGCATCAAGATTTACCTATCACAAGAAGATCAATATTATTAACTGCATCTTTTTCCTTGCAAAAAACGACATCAAAAGAACTATCAACATATTACATCTGCTTATTTTATTACTTCATCATCAAAAGAAGAGTACATTGAAGATTATATTACAAATACAAAATACGAGCTTTATTTGTTTTACGTCAAACTGGATGAAGTTGACGTCAAATGTTCAAGTAGAGCAATTAAGTGTCAACACGGTAAAAGACACTATCTTCCCATTTGGGGTTATATTTTTTTTTATGCTAATGAGTTTTATCTTAGTCTTTGTCGAGAGAATCCAAGAGGATGAATTCTCAAGCAAACCACAGGTGTGGATGACATAAAAAATGATGCAGCACAACGTGGAACTTTTTCTTAGCAGCGAACTGGGACATAGTCCAAAGAGGAGTGCCAAACTCTTAGGACGCGAGCTGAGGAGCGACTTCCATCACAATCAAATCACACCCCTATCAGAAGGCATGTGGGTTTTCCTTTGGGTTTGCCGGTTTCAGTTTCGCATCCGAAAATATTTTTTATTTTATTTTATTTTTTTATTTTTGTCTCTATCGGAAGCAGCTTTCCAATCTGAGTGACAATCCACTAAGAGCTGTGGAAATTATGTCCGTGTAGATTCTTAATTATGGGTGTGAAGCGCGCCACATTCATGGCTAAGAGGTTGCAAGCCTCCTTTTTCATACTCGATTTATTTTGTCACTCTTCCTGAACCAAAGGTTATCTGGCATAATAGGTTTCCTTTTCAACCGATCGAGTGAACTATAAGTGGCCTGAATTCTCATATAGCCTGAGATAAGTAGGAAGCCCATTTCCGGAGTTCGGCCATAATTCTTAAAGTTCTCACCAAAACCCTTTTTCTAAAGGATGAAAATGTGGTCGGTCAAAATTGGATTTGTCAATTTCATTTGCCTCGGATTTCTTTCATCAATACAAGTCAATCGAGGGACAGTTGTTGACACCCAATTTTGGCCCTCCACAATATGAATTAATCATCGAGCTTCTTAAATTCCTAACGAGTTGAAATAATTGACTTTATAAAATTCAAAAAAATAATAATATTTTTTTATTATTATAAATAGTTTAGTCACTTCTTATAATTTTTAAATAATATATATGTTTACATAATTATTTATATAATTAGTATGTTCAAAAATTGTCCCAAAAGTAATTTAGTTTTAGCTAAATATTTGATTATTTAGTTTAAATTAATTAATAGATTATATTTCGAGTTAATTAGTTTAGAATCAAGTTAATTATTATATAATTATGTGTCTAATTAGTATATTTTATGAATGATCGAAAATTGTCTCAAAAGGATTTTTGCTTCATTTAAATATGGTTATTTTGTCGTTTATATTGTTAAATTAATTAGTTTATAATTAAGTTAATTATTTTACTTCGTTAAGTTTAAGAAGCTCGTTAATTAATTAATATCAATTTGTCTTATTCAATTACTAGCCGAATCTATCTTATTAAATCGAATTGGCTAAGTTTTCTAGTTCCCTGTCAACCGACCCCACCCATATTATTTTTTACAAATTAACAGCAGCCCCTTAATGTATACAACGACAATACAATACCTATTAGCACATTACAACAATACATGTAACACCCCAACCGACCCAACCTTTCATCCATTTTTCCTCATCCTATTTTTTATTTCCCAGCCGACCCAATCCCACAATATTACCCAGCCCAATCCTTTTAATACATATAGCCCAAATCAATAATACCCAGCCCATACTCTTTTCTAATTTTCCAACATCATACGTACAATGCCCCAAACCAGCCAAACTCCACCCACACGCTCTTCTTCTCCGCAGCACGACGAAACCCAGAACAGTTCAGCAACGCGACTGAATCGAACGCTAAGGACAGCGAGTTTACGGAACCAGCAGCTTTTCGCGTCTTCCTCCTCTGCCAGAGCAGTTCAAACAACCTTTCTTTGCAACAGCCATCCACCCTAATCTCGTCATCCGGATTTTAGGGAATTTTGGTTGAAATTTTGTACAAGCAACAGCTTTTCCTCCTCTTGGGCAAGAAAAATTCAAATTGGGTTGAATCCGGATTGACGATTTTGCCCCAAGCTTCTCCAAAAATTCACCCGCCTCTTCCAAATCGTGAGTTCAATTTCCCATCTATATATAACCCCTCTTTAGTCATTGTTAGGGGGGAAGGGAGGAGCAAAAAAAAATAAAATCTTGAAATACTTAAGCAAAAATAGTTAATATATACCAAAGAACCAGGGGAGTACTAGTTTCTGGGTGGAGTTCAATATTCTACTCGAATTCCTTGATCGTTGCCCGAGTCGAAATCTTGTTGTGGTCGTGGAAAGCTACTTCTCTGTTCGTTCCATCCCTGTTCGCTGCTCATAATAAGTCCATGATGGGCTTATTTACCTTGCACATTTAAGTCGAGCCATAAAAGCTCGATCTTTGCCGTCCCTATTTCTCGAGTCAGCCCCCCTGCATATTCGGTAGCTGTTGCAAGCCCCAGAGACCCAACATGCTGCTGGAAATTAATTCAAAAAGCCCAAGAAATGGGCTGTATACATACTATATACAGCATTATACATTGATATACAGGTTCAATATAGCAAATATGTGATCTGAAATGAAGATACAGGTCGGAGGCGTCAAAGCAAACTGCATACAGTCGGTATATGGGATGATATACACGAAAAAGAGCTAAGAAACGACCAATATACACTAATATACAGCCGATGTATACAAAAACGGGATTGGGTTAAAACCTAAAAAATTTGCAGCAGAATTGGCCCAAGAAGGGGCCCAATTCCATTATCTCTTTTACTCGTCTAATTTTTTTAATTATGTTTGACTAATTTTATTTAACTCTAATTTTAATTAACTTAATTAAGATTCCCCAAAAGATGAGTTATATTCTTTATGTTGGTTTACTTTTAATACATTTTTCTTGTGTTCACTTATTTATTAATCAAGTATATTGGTCAAAATTTTATATCTTCAATTGAGTTAAAACCTTTCAGTCTAAAAAAAAAATGTTTTTAATGCCTCTTCATTTAATCATTTTACTCATTTTAATTAGTTTTAAGTTAAAGTAATTTTCTCAAATGAACTTAATTTTGTTATTATTTAGTCATTTTCTCAAAAAGATAGTCAAAGCTTTTTTTTTTTAATCAATTGATTTAAAAGAGTTTCATGCTTAATTTATTAAATTGGTTCAAATTATTATTTTTAAAACAATTCAAATAAGTTTAATTAGTGTAAATTTGTTAAAATTCTAATAACTTGTAATTCGATTGAAATGTTTCAATTAAAGTTCCTTTTCTTAAAAAATAAAGAATGTTTCATTTACTTAATTATTTTCTCAAAGCTAATCAAATATTGTAAGTTATTATTTTTATGTTAAATCATCATTTTCCTAAATATAGTCAAATATATTTTAGTCAAATCGAAGGTCAACCGCATGTTAGCGGGCACTTCGAATGCTTAAACCCTTCTCGAAGTGTAAATTGAACCCCAAACTCTCATTGGTATTTTCAAATGATTTTTTCTGTTTAAATCTTTGAAAATTATAAGTTTTCTTAATTTCTTTAAAAAATTAAGTGGCGACTCTTTCCTAAGTATTTTTCTCTAATTGTTTTATACTTAGAACATTTCAAAAAGTGATTTTTCTAAAGGTTAGGAAAATTACGGCAAAACAACAGCTTCCTCCATCTCACGCTTCATATGTTGAAATGACAAAAGCAAATCCTTCTTCACTTTTCCAGCAATCAAAAGCCATGGTGTTTGTATAAGCTCATTCTTTATTCCTTCACTGCAACCTGGAAAAGTATAGATATATAGCTTAATGAGCGTCACTAAAGCAGAGGTGAACCATGATTTGAAGATGACAGATGCACCACCAATGTCAGCTAATGCACACTAGTGTATGATAATTTCATTAAAAATATAAAATATAAAACTGTTAAACTAACATAAAAATATGAATTAGATGACTCTACTAGATAAAATTTCCTTTTGTAGAGTGTGGTTTTGAACTTCAGTTTGCACGGAGGTCACAACTTCGAAACTAGCCATTCCTAGTAAATGGGATTCAAGCCTAGTCCCCTCACATCAGAGGTGTACCAGAATAGTTTGTCTCTTTTGGTGCCTAATAAAATGTATGTATATATATATCTGCAACATATATATATATATATATATATATATATATATATA